ACTGGAATGGCATTTCTCCTCCTCTTCCCGATGTTTCCCTCGCTGTCATTGCTCTCGCCGCTCGGTCCGAGAGATGTCGTTGGTTTCGTCTTCTGTGGGCAGGGAATATCCCTTTTCTTTTTTTGGCTCAATTCGAGTGTCGTGGACCATGGGTGTGATCTTCTTTCTATTCTCTCTATTCTCTGCCTATAAGGATAGTTCCTTTTGCAATTTTCGAGGTTATTGAGAAAAGTTTTTGAGAGGAGCTTGGAGAGGGAATTTCTGTGAAAGCACTTCTTTGGGGTGAACTCTTGTGTTGCAGGGCTTTACTTTAGCATTCTTGAGATACTCTTCTTCCCCCCCTTCTGTGGTGCCTCGTTGCTCTTCGGTTTTCTCTTTGCCGAGCCTTGAGTATAGTTCTGTTGGATATTTCAGCATACTAGTTCTCTTTACTTTCATATACTTCGAAGTATTCACTCTAGAGACATGTAAAAAAAATGAAATGTGGGCATGTCCAAAGAGCTAAACTGGGTTATTTGCTTAAACTAGGGAGGCTATGGCATATTAATGGTTCTCGTGGCATGTTTACGTTGGAAACATTTAGGGAGTTAAGTCATGCCTTTGAAATGATTTTTGCTCCTCTTGCAAGCATGATGGGATGAGTATTATAGAGTTTTTCACTTATTTTCGTTTGGAATGAAATATTGGAGAGGTTATTTGGCCTTCATGCATGCTAGGAGGTTCATTCTACTGTTTTATGCATGTTTGGGGGGGGGCTCGGTTTTGGGCTTCCTGTGGCTTTCCCCAGCTTGAAATGCAGGCTATGAAAAATTTTATTTAATGTGGAAAGCCTTGTATCTTGTTTCGAGAGTTCGACTTAACTTTTCATGAGGCATCTCCCCTGTTCATATATTTGTTGGAATAACTTCATGCTTAGAATATTTAAATATGCAGGTGATTCATCGGTTTGGAGGCTTGGTCTTGGCTTGAAATGGCTTAAACTTTTTTTTTTTGCTTGTTTTAATCTTGTTGAGCTCTGACTTTGGCTTTTGAGTTTTCGTTGAGCTCGATTTTGGCTTCTTGTTTCTCGTCGAACTCGGATTCAGTTTCTGGTTCTTGTTGAACTTGGTTTTGGCTTGATTTGAAGTCACGGTTTTGGGGCGAAATGGTTGGATCTTTAATGCTTTATGGGGTCTGGATTTTGATATCGTTAGGCTCGATTTTGGGCTTTAAATGGCTCGGCATTGGGCTTTTGTTGGTGCTCGGTTTTCATTTCAGGAGTATGGGACGTCGGTTTCTGTGGAAACTTGAGTCTTGGCTTTTATTGAGATGTTAGAGCTCTCTTCCTGGCTTTAAGGGCTCTTGTGTTTTAGCCCTGCTGCACTTTGT